TTTCATTTCAGATCTTTGGAAGGCCGCAATGGCTGACTGTCGCAGGACGTTCCCGAACATATGTTGCAAAGGTACATAACATGGTTACATGCATGGACCTTCTCGAACATTTCGCATATGTAATCGTATCTCTTACGTATACTGCATATGTACGGACGGATCAGATTAGGACAGAACTGGAACAACGAGGATGCAAAATCAGAACAAGGCGTGAAGTACAGTGGGTTACCACTTCTGTTAATAATGGTCTCTCCCCACCTCCTCCCCCCCCCCCCTCGTTTCTACATCTTCTTTGATGGTTTTTGGCTTACAAAACCTGCAGGCGTTACTATAAGGAATGGAGATGGCTCGGAGGAAATATTCGATCGATGTTTATTGGCTATGAATGCCCAAGATGCTCTGAGGTTGCTTGGGGACCAAGCAACGTTTGATGAAAGGAGAGTTCTTGGTGCTTTCCAATACGTCCACAGGTACTTTATGACAGATTATATCCGATCTGATCTGAGAATCGTGAATTCCTGTGGATGTGGTCCATTAACTTTCAGTATCGCATTCTCGTCAGCGATATCTATCTCCACCGTGACACGGATTTCATGCCCCACAAGACAGCGGCATGGAGCGCCTGCAATTTCCTAGAAAGTACAGAACATAAAGGTTCAATAACGTACTGGCTGAATATACTTCAGGTCTGGTCTGTAACTCGGTCTCCCGATCTTGTCCTTGCATTTTCTTTTTTTGTAACATCGGCTCTGTGCCGGTTACTGATTGGGAAACTCTAATGGGTTGAACCAACTTTGGATGTGTAACAATCTTGCGCAGAATCTTGGAGAGAAACAAGAACCATTCTTCGTGACACTGAATCCTGATCGTGTCCCGAAGAAGACGTTGCTCAAATGGACTACTGCCCGCACCGTCCCGTCTGTTGCTGCTCTGACGGCTTCACAAGATCTGGACAAGATTCAAGGACAACATGGATTGTGGTTCTGTGAATCGTGTCAGGGTATAGCAGAATAAAACACATGTTTCTTGCGGCTTTGTGTTGGGCCAAGAACAGGCAGCTTGGTCTTGATCTTGAACTAATCCTGTTTGTGTGAATCTTTCCATTTCAGGCTACGGATTCCATGAAGACGGGCTAAAGGCAATCCATCCAATCATTTGTATTCATAACATCGTTCTTGTAGATGATCTTGTTTTTCTAACTCGTGACTTCTCGATTTGCCAGGCTGGTATAGCTGCAGCGCGAAATCTGCTCAGGAAAGATATCGGTAACCTGAAGAATCCAAAATGCATGGTCCTGTCTCTATCAGAAACAGGGGCTCGGCTTTTCGTGACCAGATTCATGGAACAGTTCATCTCAACCGGGTCCATTACGTAAGCCTCGAAACCTAAACTTTGCAACGTCTTACCACTCGGGGATTCATAACTCGCTTTCTTTCCTGTGGAATCGTCAGATTACTGGAAGAAGGAGGAACAATGTTCAGGTTTGGCGGGAAACATCCCAAATGCAACTTGAGATCTGTTCTGACGATTCACAGTCCTCAGTTTTACTGGAAGGTACACGATGCTTTGCTACAAATACAGAAAGTGTTCTTCCATGCTCAAGAACCGGATTCTTGGCTTTCCCCAGGTCATGACACGGGCGGATTTAGGGCTCGCAGATGCTTATATCAATGGAGATTTTTCGTTCGTCGATAAAGACAATGGGCTTTTGAATATGTTAATGGTAGAGATACGAGCACTAGACAAATAGATACCGAGTCTCCTTTTCTTTTCGTTTTCTCATTTCGGTCGAGCTTTTCTACTTTCAGATTCTCATAGCTAACAGAGATATGAACTCACTGAAATCGAATCTTGCCAAGAAAAGGTACTTGCTCTGGCTTCCATTAAGAACATTGCAAGCTTTGATGTGCAGATTTCGCCGCCTAAACTTTGCTCCCATTTGATCTTTTAGGGGTTGGTGGACACCGATGTTTCTGACAGCCGGGCTAGCTTCTGTAAATTACTTCCTCAAGCATGTCTCAAGACAGAACACCCTAACACAAGCTCGTAGGAACATTTCTCGTCACTATGATTTGGTAAAATGTTCTTATTCCCGATATTCATTCAATCGCAACAAACATCGTGTAAGTCTTCTGAGTTCATATGATTCACTTCTTCATCGGGTTAATTTGCAGAGTAACGAGCTTTTTGCTATGTTCTTGGACGAGACCATGATGTATTCGGCTGCATTATTCAGTGTTTGCTCTGAACCCCCCTCTCCCCGAATGAATTTCTCTGTTTAGAACCTCTTACGTACTCTTCTGACAACATGTTTTCCGTATTAAACGGTTTTGTAGTCGGAAGACGAGGATCTGAAAACTGCTCAGATGAGGAAAATATCTCTCTTGATCGAGAAGGTAATCTCTACCATTCATTCATTCTCCTTCTTTTGTCGTAACTTACACCACGGACTGCATATTTCAGGCGAGAATAGAGAAGAACCACGAGGTTTTGGAGATCGGATGTGGTTGGGGAACCTTAGCCATAGAAGTTGTGAGAAGAACTGGTTGCAGATACACCGGCATTACCTTATCGGTCGAACAACTTAAATACGCCGAAGCAAAGGCCAGAGAAGCTGGGCTTCAGGATCAGATTACGTTTCAACTCTGCGATTATCGTCAACTCTCTGATTCTCGTGTATATGACAGAATCATATCTTGGTAAGACCCTCCTTTTCTCTCCGGTCGTACCCGAACCTGCATTACAGAAACCATCACGTATATTAGCTTCGTTGTTTCAGCGAGATGTTAGAAGCAGTTGGGCATGAATTCATGGAGACGTTCTTCAGAAGTTGTGAGGCTGCGCTTGCGGAGGATGGTCTTCTTGTTATGCAGGTAATGGTGTTCATCCTTCTCTTTGGACGGTTCTTTCTTTCTTTTTTCCTCGGAATTTAATGGTTTCAGCGTTGGAAATCAGTTCGCATGGATACCCGATCAACGTTACGACGAGTACAGACTGAGTTCGGATTTCATAAAGGAGTACATCTTCCATGGCGGATGCCTGCCATCGCTTGCCAGATTAACATCAGCCATGGCTTCTTCCTCAAGGCTATAGTAAGTCAGCGTCTAATCCAGCGCTCTTTTCCTTCTTTCGTACATCTAACTTTCATGAAATGCAGCATTCAACAAGTTGAGAACATCGGCGTCCATTACTACCAGACGATAAGATGCTGGCGAAAGAACTTCACAGAGAGGCGCAGGTGAGAAAGATCGAACCTTTTTCTTGTCTGTTAATCCGGGTTTCAACCGATTCAAAAGATCACTGCGCTGTGCAGACAAATCATGGATCTCGGATTCGACGAGAAATTCATCCGGACATGGGAATATTATTTCGACTACTGCTCAGCTGGTTTCAGGACTTTTACACTTGGAAACTACCAGATGGTGTTCTCTCGTCTTGGAAGCACATCTGCATTCGGAGATCCGTACAGGAGCTTCCCCTCCGCGTATTGTTCCAGCCCAGAAACTGGAAACCAGATGAACTCTGAACTTCTTTAGCATCACCAAACCCAAATGTTCTCTGATTCTCTGTGTTTTTTTTCCTGGAAAATTCGATGTATAAGAGCTTGGCTTTGTGCTCCATGTACGATCTTGTACAGTTTCCATGTCTGCATAAGAACATAGCATGACAGCCGGGCTAGTTTCGGTTGCTGGAAACCCATGTTTGGTAAACTAGTTTCGGTTGCTGTCTTAACCAGCTGCATCACCAGAACGAAACCGACATTCCGTACAATTGCTTCAAGAAAAGCATCACATGACAGAAGAGTTTAAGTTCCATTAAGACACTGAAAACCCTCCTGCAACAACAAAGTTTCTGGTTTCAGTGGCACTGACATCAGAAACTAATGACCTGATCTGACATCTCATGATACATCAACATTGTCCCATTTCAGCTACAAAGGGAAGGATGAACAAAAGCTACCCTCTTTTCCAACCCCCTCTCTCTCTCTCTCTCTCTCTTTCTCTCTCTCTCTAATACCATTGCAAGAGCATGAACAGAAGAATCTCTGTATGAGCATAGCTTGGGTTTCTGCCTGGACGAATCTTTGGCTTCGCCGTAGAACTTAAGCATCCTCGTCCTGTACAAACACAGGCCGAAAATGATTATGTTCATCCTCAAAGCTGCACTAACACTACATTTTTTTACCACTACCTCACAGAACTAGCTTCAAAGGATCAACTACCGCTACATCTACCGAAACTGCACACAACGAGGAGATTAGATGAGAGCTGCATCTATTGGAAAGAGATACCCGTTTTCATCTACAGATCCCGAAAACAGGACAGACATCTCTTAAATCAGAAGCCTTTAAGCTTTTTAATACCTGCAGAACAATTCCATGTGAATCCAGACAAAAACCATCATAAGACAAGCAGACATTACAAAGTCAAGAGAGAAAGCAAACAAGTCATAGGAGGCGATTATATATGCTACAGTAGCAGAAGCACCAAGACAAAAGGAACACTCAAGCGGCAAGCCTATAGTTATAAGCCCCAAAAACCGGATACTACACTCAACAGAAACTGTTAGAAATGTAAACTGGAATCTAACACGCCTGCAAGAGGCTTATTGTAATAAAATGTGCAAAACTCATAAGATTCAAGCAATCCAGCCGGTTAAGAAGTTGGACCTTCGGATTGAGCTATTCTTCTTGATGAGGGGTCCATAAACAGGGATTAGAACCCCTTAAAATGATGCAGTCCGTTCAGGATTCTCTACTGTTGTCCATGTCGACCCTGACTACCATTGTACCCACCGCCATAACCTTGCAGCGGATCAGATCTCCATGAACCATCACCATAGCTGCCTCCATTGTAGCCACCACCACTACCTTGTAGATCCCCGCCGGCAATATTTGATCCGCCACTTGGACGCCCTCCAATGGCTCCAAATCCGGGTTGATTTCCATAAGAGGAATCGTTTCCACCATATCCGTAACCTTGGTTACTAAAACCAGCTGACCCACCTGGAGATTGTGCAGAAGGTGCTGCTCCATTACCTCCATAACCACTAGGAGCAGTATTTCCATAGCCCGGGTTACCATAACCAGCAGCAGCAGGTTGACCGCCCCATGAACTTCTCGGACCACCTCCATGACCACTTCCAAAAGCAGCACCTGGAGCACCGCTCGGGTTTCCATATGGCGCACCAAAAGGACCACCATAACCTCCACCAGCACCAGCAGCATAGCCTCCATAGGCGATATACCCGACTCCATTACTACCATATCCATAACCGGCACCACCATAACCAGAAGAACCATAAGATGGTAAACCATTTCCGGTATTCTGATGCTGCATAAACCTGTTGGAATCTACACGGCCCTCATAACTGTTCCCACTACCACCCATTGAACGCCCAGGCCCTCCAGGAATGGCGTCTTTAGGAAGAGCCCGCTTTACTTCAACTTGCTTGCCGTTCAAATCATGGAAAGTCTTGTGCAAGACACGGTCTACCGAATCTTCAGATTCGAAGGAAACAAATCCAAACCCACGAGGACGGTTGGTATTCTGGTCATACATGATTATCACATCAGCCACGGAACCATAAGCTTCAAAGTACTGTCGAAATGCTTCATCTGTCAAAGTGGGCGGCAAACCTCCGACAAAGATCTTCTTGGTTCTAACATATCCACCGCCACCACCTCCGGAATTTCTAGAAGGATTATAATTACCGGATCTACCTGATACTTGCTGTTCTTCTCTTGTCATGGCCCTCTTCACATCAACCTAGAAAATTGGCACAGATCAACGAAAGCCCAAGATAAATATCCAAGCATGAATGATACAGTTTACACCACAGCAAGAGTTTAACACAAAGTTGTCTTCTTAACCTCATTGATCAATCCACTATTTTCAATTTTATCACACTACCAAGACTTTGATCAGTTTCCAGAGTCTATAAAAAACAGGGTTCGGTTTTTCAAGAACAAAGCGAAAATTACGAAACTTGCAAATTATAAGAAAAAGATACCAATCAAACACACGAAATAGAACATAGTGGAGAGAAGAAAAAAAAGCTGCAGACTTTATCTTGTTCCATTGCTTATGACTTCCAGAAGAACAAAACTTTCAATGGACCCGATACGAAATCGATCAAACCAGCAGAAATCGAGGCAAGAAGCTATGAAAGGAGCAGAGATTAACCTCTCTGGTATCAATGTGATGCTTGTCCTGAAGAACCCGATCGAGAACAGAAGGATCCGAGAAGAGAACGAACCCAAAACCCCTAGGGCGACCAGTGACCTTGTCCCTCATCACGATTGCCTGCAAGACATCGCCATAGTTACTGAAATGTTCCTTTAGCTTGTCTTCGTTAGTTTCCCATGAAATCCCACCGACAAAAAGCTTTCCTTGATCCGCATCCATGGCTTTAACTCACACTTTACCCTCTTCCTCCCTTTTCTTACAAACCCAGAATCCAAGATAAAAAAACCCCAAATCAAGTTCCGAAAACAACTACGAGAACCAACAAAAGGGTTCTAGGTTTTCAAGAAGAAATGACAGAGGATAGAGAAAGAGAGGAGGGGGATTTCTAGGTTTACTAACAAACCCACGTAGTATTATTACATTTTTATATTAACCTCGTATGTTTATCTTATTTACAAATTGACTCTCATGGGCCGGCCCATATTCTTCCGGGAGAATAATTGATTCCAGAAAAAATAGGTCAAACGAGCCGGCCCATCACGAATCGGATTGGCTCACGGATTAAACTTTTTTTTTCTTTTTAAATTTTTTTTATATATTTTAAAATATTTTTATATACAAATTATATTTTTATTATATATTTAATTTATTTTGTTTAAAATTTTAAATATTTTTATTATATTTTAAATATTAAAATTATTTTAAAATATTTTTTAGTATTTAAATTTTATTTTTAAAATTATATATTTGGTCCGTGGGTCGGTTCGTTTGACTCGCGGACTAAGGTGATCTGGATTGAGTTGGTCTATTTTTGGCTCGTTAAAAAATGGACTGGACTGAGCTGGGCTAAAATTTTCTCGGATCGGGACGAGCCGGGCTGGGTTGAACCGGGTCGGCCCGGTTTTACACCCCTATCTATATCTATATACATTAAATGGAGACTTCTAAGGGCAAAAAAATAATTTTAAACAAATACGGAATGATAATTTCGTGGATTAATTGTGGTAGAGTTATTTACAATAAGTGTAATTTAGCATTAAAAATAAATATCGGACGTGAATTTCAAGAGGAGAAAAACAAAGCCGAACCTTTATATTTACAGATACACATATCATATTATATTTAAAATCACGTAATTATATAATTTTTAAGGGAAAATGTAGTGTCGATAAATATCGTAAAATATAACGGTAATAATGTTTTATCTTATATAATTAAGCGTAATTGTCGAATATTAATTACAAATATGCAGTGTCATTAGTCGTTCATTAGGTGGAAAGATGGAATACGGCGAGACGTAGATACTAGATTCCGTGCCCACACGGTTGAAGCTCACCGGCGGCTGTCCCAAGTTGACATCTGTCACACGTGTGGAGTCAAGGAGTGAGAAACCTCACACGTGTGAACTTGTAATATTAAAATCTCATATATATATATATATATATATATAATATGATCGTATATATATGTGTGTGTATATCTTTTTTGCCGGAAAAAAAAAAGACTGTAAAAGAGGAAAAAGCAAAGCCGAACACAAATAATGACATATCTGAGAATCTGAGACAACCCACAAATGTAAAAAAAGTTTTTTCTCACCCACCCTCATAATATTACCATTTTTTTATATTAACATCGTATATTTATCTTATTTACAAATTTTCCATATATGTTTGCTTTATGTTAATATTAGATGGAAAATTGTTGGTGCAAAAAATAATTTAAAAAAAAATAAAGAAGAAAAACTTGTGGAAGTAAACTATCTACACCGGATTACGTACACGCTCTTCAAAAGATTTGTAAAGTATTGAGAGATTTCCAAAAACATAATATTAAAGTATAATATTAATCGCAAAATATTTTCACTTGAAACTTTAGGAGTGATAATTGTGGTAGAATTATTTAGATTGGGTGTAATTTAGCATAAAAAAAATATCGAACGTGACTTTCAAAAGTGGCAAAGATGTGGGCGTGATTTACAGGTATTTATATTTAGGAAAAAAAAAGAAAAAAATTAAAGAGAAGACAACACAACAGCAGTTCAAGCCTAAACAGCAACAACAACAACAAAAAAGCCGTTTCTTTTGCTTCTCTTTGGTCTCTCCCGTTTGTTCTTCTTTCGTCCCCTCGATCTAACTGATTTCCCTCTGCGAGAGCACGGATTTCTTGCTCTGTGCCTACAATTCTTGTCAAAGTTTATTGCTTTTTTCTGTTTAGATTTTTTTTCGATTTGACCAATCTCGAGGGACATAAGAAGGAGAATGAGGGGACAGAGGTGATCGTCCGATTCTCGATGGAGCAGCTTGTCAACTTCATCATTCGACCACCCAGGTGAAGCATCGTCTTCTTCTTCTTCCGAATTCATGTTCGAAGATTGTGAACTCACTTGTTGTCGGATTCGGTTATGAGTTTAATTTCTTTTTTTTTTTCCTTTTCCTGGGGTTTGTTGAATTCTCTTATTAAGCTCAGATTTAATGGGTTAGGGATTTGGGTTTTAAGAAAGTTTCGAGCTTTTGTTCGGATTTTATGTTTTTGTTCGTGTTCTCGAATTGTAGATGGCAATTGGATTTATTTGGATCGTGGGTCGGTTTAGAATCGTCCTTTTTGGAAAAAGAAACTGGGATTTTCACAGGAATGCTGATGTTTGCGTTCTGGAATCAAGCAAGAGACAAGCTTCAGATATATTCCTCTGAGTCAGTTGGATTTAGTTTTGTCGGCTTTCATGTCTGGGTTCTTCTTAGGTGATGTCTCGCTACTGTACGGAAGAATACAATTGGTGCTTTACTGGGTCCAGATGCTGAACCTTCTTATCATCTGTGGTTTGACCCAAGAGCGTGTCCATGTCTACTCAGAATTATAGTTTTACGGACTTAGGACAGTTGACAGAAGTATGTTGGGTATGGCAGTGAATACAGCTTCTGTCCCATATCCATATACCCCGGACAAGACATTAGTTCCGTAGATATTGCAGCATCTGATAATTGCATGGTGTGTTTGTGACTATTTGAGGTATATATCCTTGTTTGTTCCTTTTATTAAAGATGGCAATTAGAGTGTGCATTCACAGTAGAGGGATCTGGATACATACGACAGGATCCCAAAGTTTCGGTCTTTGAGTACGAGAAAGTGGACCGTTTGTGTGATCGTGTTCATCTTTCAAAAGCCCATCAAGAGATGATCTTATTAGGGTTTTGATTTTCATCATCAACTTCTGACTATAAATCTCTGTGCTAACTTGTGCGATGCAGAGCTGAATACAACCCGGAGCATGATCTCTTGGAGCAGGAGTTTATGCTGAAAGGGAGATGGTACCAAAGGAAGGACTTAGAGGTAAGTAAACCTCTCTAATGGTTTTTAATAGTTTATAAAGCGGACATTTTTGTGTTTCTTGTTGTAGCTTCTCTATTCTTGATGGATAAGACCATAACTGGCGCTAATGCCATAATGTGAAAAATGTTGTTGACCGCCTTTAGAATCTTAATTTCGAGTGGTATTTTCTTCTCTTGATGCCGTAGAGATGGTGTATTTGGCAGGTCAAAAACAGCAGGGGAGATGTCCTCCAGTGTAGCCATTACATGCCGATTGAACGCCCCGAGGGAAAGCCTCTGCCCTGTGTAATTTACTGCCATGGAAACAGGTACTGGAAATTTGATGAACATCTTTTCGTAGATTCTAATTATATAGAATGTGATAACTAACAAATTCTGTATGGGATGAAATCTATCTTCGGTGTTTATGCGTAAACACTATAAACAAACCCTACTTCTGAGTTGAAAAAGTGAGTTGCTTGCCAAAAACCCCGGGAATTGCCGCTTGGGAAGATGGTTTGATTTGATTCGCTTACTTACTTCTGTACAAAGTATTATCCTCTTATTTCTGTTGTTGGACCGTTTAATTTACAGTCTCACTAATGCCACCGTAATGTGTATATCCAGTGGATGTAGAGCTGATGGAAGTGAAGCCGCTATTGTATTACTTCCTTCAAACATCACAGTGTTCACCCTCGATTTCTCGGGATCCGGTCTATCCGGAGGGGAGCACGTCACGTTGGGCTGGAACGAGGTACGTGATTATTTAACCATTCCAAGATTATTGTTGTTTTTTTTGCCGATATTTATTGCTGTTTTAAGGTAGCGTTTTTGGACAAGGTCAGTTTTAACTGTCGTGTTTGTTCTTCTCATCTGTAATAATCACTTGATGGCTTCACCTTGTAATTATCTTTTTAGTTGTGAGAGTTTTCATATTTTTGTCCGTTAATATTTGCAGAAGGATGATCTCAAGGCTGTGGTCGACTATCTAAGAACGGATGGAAATGTGTCACTGATTGGCTTATGGGGCCGTTCGATGGGAGCTGTTACCAGGTTCTCTTCACCCTTTCGTGTATTTTTTCCCAATTTACTTGTCTGATACCATCTTTATTTTGCATTCATAATATTAATCGCAAAATATTTTCACTTGAAACTTTAGGAGTGATAATTGTGGTAGAATTATTTAGATTGGGTGTAATTTAGCATAAAAAAAATATCGAACGTGACTTTCAAAAGTGGCAAAGATGTGGGCGTGATTTACAGGTATTTATATTTAGGAAAAAAAAAGAAAAAAATTAAAGAGAAGACAACACAACAGCAGTTCAAGCCTAAACAGCAACAACAACAACAAAAAAGCCGCTTCTATAGATTCTTGGGTTCTCGTGTTTTTTGAGACCGACACTCTGCCACTTGCCAGTGATTCTCTATGATGATCGGCAATAGTCATAACGTGTTTACATGTAAACCGCCTTAAGAAATGACATAAAAGACTTCACAACAAAACCGTCAAGTCAGTTTTTTCATATGGCAGTTTGATGTATGGAGCTGAGGATCCATCAATTGCGGGAATGGTTCTTGATAGTCCATTCTCTGATTTGGTTGATCTCATGATGGAGCTTGTGGATACATACAAGTTCCGTTTGCCGAAATTTACCGTAAGTAAATCTATATATTTGTTTCCGATCGGTCCGCTTCTTCCATGGCGTCTCTGTTATACGGGTTTATGATCTTTTAACTTTGCATTTTCAGGTAAAGTTTGCGATACAATATATGCGGAGAGCTGTTCAGAAGAAAGCAAAGTTCGATATAACGGATCTCAACACCATTAAGGTCATCTCTTCGCGGCTGATTGTCTGAATATGGCTGAATGATCATTACTTGTTACAATGGCATTATCCATATCGGTTGTCGGAAACATTATCCTATAGATATATATATATATATATATATATATATATTGTTACCGTATCGTATACGACGTTCATTTTTCAAGTTTTATATTTGATGCTGCAGGTAGCAAAGTCTTGCTTTGTTCCAGTTTTATTTGGGCATGCCATAGATGACGACTTCATCCGGCCTCATCATTCAGATCGTATATATGAAGCATATGTAGTAAGATTTCCCGTTTTCGAAAAACTCTTTTCCCAAAGCGAGACAAAAAAAAAGATTCGATTTTACTTTGATTCAATCCGATCACATGTCTTATGGTTGTGGCAGGGAGACAAAAATATCATCAAATTTGATGGGGATCACAATTCTCCTCGCCCGCAGTTTTACTTCGATTCGATAAACATTTTTTTCCATAACGTTCTTCAACCTCCGGAAGCTGTCGGTCCAACATTTTATGACCCCTTGGATGATTATTTTGTAAAGGTAATGCAAACACATCTACGCTTCGGTTTCTTGATATTTCGTCGAGAAAGGTCATTGATTCCGAATGTTTCATGTTCAGGGCAGTTGGAGCACCATGCGTGAACCGAATCTTCCGCAATCCTCAGCACAGAAACGTTAGTGATTCGGTTTTTTTTTTGTTTCGATTTCCTCTTCGTTGTTCTAATGGTTTCGGGTTTAGATGCAGGAAACATCTCTGACGCACTTAATGAAGTTCGCACGAAAAGACCTATGAGTCGGACTGAGGTTGGTAATGCTTGAGTTCATCTTTTCGGGTTTTCTTTCAAGAATTTCCGGTATAATTTGCTCAGTTACAGCTCCTATCCTTATGTTCAGTGTTCTTACCGAACAGAATCTTCTTCCTATGCAACATTTGGTTGTTCTTGTTTCACTTTGTTCTTAAAGTGAACTACTTGGAAGCTTGATGCTGTTTTAGTATTATGCTTTCTTCATCTTTCTTCCAATCGAAAATTTCGCTTGTTTTTTCACCTGTCAGGTTCCTTCCAATGTCACATCCAACGAATCTTCGTCAGAAACCAAGGTATGAGACCAGTTTCGTATATGATCTTGATTGTCTAATGGCTATTCGATCAGCAACTGTAAAGAAAATGATTATATCCGGCGCCCATGGCTGTAAACTATTATCCGGAGAAGAGAAAAACCCCGTAAAGGAAATTAAAAGAAAACGCTAATAGAAGAGACGGGACAGAAGCAAGGAGATTCTTGACGTTGAGTGATGTTCTGTTTTTCAGGAAAAAGACGGTCATGATTGCCATGGAAGCCCGTCTTCCGACATGATTAGCTTCGATTTGTCGAACGGTGATCCGTACCCTCCTCATCTTGCGGTTTCTGTAGAAGATGATCAGTATGTTGAGTATCAGTTCGAGGATTTGGGAGATTTCCCATCCAACGCAGAGGAGGAAGAAAGGGTGAGATTATTAAAAAAAAAAAAAAAAAAAACACGATTCTTTCACTTCAATCCTGTTTTTTTATTGGTTTTCTCATCTTTTAAAGCTTTGCAGATGTTAATGGAAGCAGTGATGGAATCTCTAAAGGACTTGGAGGTGCAGAATCATCAGAAACAAGAAAGCTCTGGAACCGATGACGGAGAAAAGGATAACGAGACCGAACAAGAACAAGGTGTCTCTTCGAGTTCCGAAACATGCAGCCAGGATGTAACACTGTCGTCTTCTGAAGCCAATGCTGCATGCGAGACCTCGGCCTCGGCCTCCTTGCCCGAGCCAGTCCCACCAGCTGACTCGTCCCTGACTGATTCCACCGATATGTCGGCACGGACCAAGGCTACAGTCACGGTTGAACGTAGTAATGCCCCGAGCAACGTTCTAGACGGGTTAATACGCCGATGGGATCTTAACTTCTTCAAGAACAGATGATCCCGCTCGGACTGGAAGCTGAGTTCCAGTTTTGTGTGTTTGGTTTCACATTTGGGTGTCTGTAAAATATATTCGACCGGAAAGATGGAAAATCTTTCCAAGGGGACAATAGGGTTTGGTCTTTGTGTCAAAGGCTGTTCAGTGAAGAATCATTACTGGTTTTGGTTTATGGTTTTTTATACGATTCTCTATCCAAAACACTGTGTTCTTCATTTTCTTTGTCTCTGCAGAAGAAGAAAGCCGTGTGTTGATCTGTTCATGTTTTTCCATGTCATAACATTTTTCAGTTTCAGTTTCAGTTCCTCTGCAGTTGCATGAGTTCTGTGTCTGAAGCGTGAAACTGTGGTTTCTTGAAGCATGGAAATGATTTTGGATACAAATTTGGCCAACTTATGCATGAAAACAATGGGGGAAGAAAAATGATGTTGACAAGAAATTATCTGAAAACATAACCTTCGGACCAGAAGTCGTCCGGATCTAAGAGACGAGATCTGTCTTATCTCGTCGCCAGCAACTGGAGGGCTGCTTCAACGAGTTCATTGATGGACGAACCATGGCGTGCGATACCAACCGTGCCCGAGAAAATGTCGAAGTTCTCGAGCTCGGTTGCAGTCTCGGAGACAGTTTCAAGTTCTGTCTTCATCCCGAGATCTCGGAAAGTCTTGACGGTCTCAGGGCTTGTTTCCATCATCTGAATGGTCAGCTCTATGGCGAACCTCCTGATTCTCGGGACCCTTGACGATGGATATTTATACTTCTCGAGAATCTTGACCAATTCCTCGGCCACTTCTTCCTCGCTCACGCTCGCATTCTTGAACGCGGTTCTTGATTCTTCCGAGCTCATGAGCCTGAGAATATGCGGTGCCAGTCCCACCATTACTTCCAGGATCTTGTCCTCT